CTCAGTTTAATTTTCACAAAATTCTAATTCAGAGATCCCCAAACTAAATCACCTATTAGAATCCCCTGGGGAGCTTTTTTAAAATACCTACTAATAAATATGGGCCTCTCTGGTGGTTCAGTGGTAAAGAACCCACCTGCCAACACAGGAAATGTAGGTTGGATCCCTGGGTCAAGAAGATCTTCTAGAACAGGAAATGGCAACTCACTCCAGTATTCTTGACTGGAAAATCCCAAGGACAGAGAAGCCTAGTGGGCTACAGACTACAGGGTCACGAACAACAACAACAACTAACAAATAAACAACAGCTTCTTCAGGTCTGCCCTAGCTTTGACCTACTGAATAAAATATCTGGGATGAGATTTGGAAATCTGCACATTAGAAAGCTCACCTGAGTACTGATGACCCTAGAATCAGGCCAGTGTTAGGGGAACCAATCCTCCACACAGTTGAAAATTCGAGTATAACTTATAGTCGGCCTTCCCTATCCTTAGATCCTCAGTATCCACATTTCCTCTCAATCCATAGTACAATATCCTTTGATTCAACCAACCAGCAATGCAGTATTTTGTATCGGAAAAAAATCCAGGGAAACTTCCCTGGAGGTCTAGTAGTTAAGACTCCGCCTTCCAATGCAGGCGGTGCAGGTTTGACCCGCTGGTCAGACAGCAGAGATCTCACATGCCTCATAGCCAAAAAACAAAACACAGAACAGGAACAGTGTTGTAACAAGTTAAAGACTGTGAAAATGGTCCACATCCAAAAAAGAAAGAAAGAAAGAAGGAAACATCAGTACAACATAACGGATAATGTCCCCAAGATAAATGTTACCAGAAGTGTAGAAGCATTCCATATCATATGAAAAGGAAATTCATAAGGTTAAGCCTTACTTTATTACATGTAATTCAGTAAGGCTCTGGAGTGTAGATCCAGCTATGTAAGTTTTCTCAAAGTCAATTGAAAAAGGTGGGACTAACTCTGACTTTAGTCTTAACTAGGCTTCAGAAGCTGATGCTGAAGCTGAAGCTACAGTATTTTGGTCATCTGATGTGGACAGACAACTCATTGGAAAAGCCCCTGATGCTGGGAAAGATTGAGGGCAGAAGGAGAAGAGGGTGTCAGAGGATGAGATGGCTGGATGGCATCACCGATACAATGAACATGAACTTGGGCAAACTCTGGGAGGTGATGAAGGACAGGGAGGCCTAAGGTGCTGCAGTCCTTGGAGTCCCAAGGAGTCAAACACTGCGGGAGATGGAACGAGGTTTCAGAAGTGGTCTATGGCGACCTCTGCTGCCCTCTGGTGGCCCCGAGCATAAAAGCACCAGCAAAGAATTCTTGGCACTCAACACTTCCACACCCCAAAGCACAGCTAAGCCTGGGGTCCCAGGGGAGGAGCTGAACCTCACCACCACTCTAAATAGGTTTTGACCCCTCACTGAACACACCTTCTTCATCTCCAGTCTGGATAATCACCCTCACAAACTGTGCTTCAAGAGCTGTTACCTGAGAGTCTGATGGTCAAGGCATAAGAATGTGATGATAGAGTACAAATGAGGAAGTATGAAAGGGAGAATATGATGCAGAGTTACCCTTGCCTGTCCCTCTTTTTCTTACTTCCCAGACTATCACAGTGGATCCCAAGCCACTAGCCTTTCTCTAGTTTATAATGAGAGAAATCAGAATATCAAAATTAGAATTTTGAGGTCAAACAGACCAAGGTTTGAACTAGCCCTCCGACTTACTCTGGGACCTCTGGGCAAGTTATATAAACATTCTGACCCTCCAGGAAGAGAAAAACAGATACCAGATGATATCATGTATTTGGAATCTAAAAAATGACACAAATGAACACATCTATGAAACACAGATTCACAGAGGGAACAAATGTGTGGTTGCCAGCGGGGGAAAGGATGGAGGCGGGATGGATTGGGAATATGGGGTTAGCAGAGGCAAACTATTACATAGAGAATGGATAAACAGCAAGGTCCTACTGTAGAGCCCAGGGAACTATATTCAATATCCTGTGATAAAACATAATGAAAAAGAGTTTGAAAAAAAAAGTATACATGTGTGTACCTGAGTCACTGAGCTAGTCACAATAGAAACTAACACACTGTCAATAAAACAAATTTTTTTTTAAATTTAAAAAATTAACTTTCTGACTCTGTTTCCCCATCAGAAAAACACAGCCCACTGTGAGGATTCAATGAGATGGTGCATGGGAAGTTCTTAGCTCAGTGCCTGAATGGGATGAAGTCAGCACTCAAAGTGTTACCTGTTAACTCCTATGGTGGGGGCAGGGGGGTGGGGGGGCTTCTTCATTCTTTGTTGATGCTGGTGAATCTAGATGAGGCTGTCCTCTGCACTGATTCACTTGTCAGAAGGGCCCCTTGCCCACGGGCATGGGTTCAGCCTCCTGCCCCTCTCACCCCATGTACCCCGCTCACCGAAGACATTGCGCCTTATGGGACAGTAGTGAAATCCAGAAGGATGACAAGGAGAGGATGCAGAGGTCCACATGCTCTCGGGTCACCTGTGGAGCCACGGATTTCTAACATCTGATGGTCAGGAAATGGATGGAGAAGGAAGACTCATAAGACACACTGGGTCTGGTCAAAGAACGGGTATTGCTTGACCCACACTGGAGGACTGGCAAGTGTCAAAGCCTCAGGAAATCCTGCTCAGCACGAATTTTTAGGGGAGGTCATCGAAAGGATGTGACTGCTGATTGACACGTGCGTTGAACCCAGGCAATCAGAGGCTCCTCCAGCCCTCCCCTGTCTTTGGAATAGACCAGGTGCCCACTGTCCCCACAGCAGGAGTTCTAAGGATACAGCCTTAAGAGAGGGATGCTGTTAGGTGCATCTGTACTGTATATGCAGCTGAACCCAGCTAAGACCTCCTAATAAACCTTTTCAGTTTCTGAAGCCTAGTGCAGAGATCTGCTGGCCTTGGGGCCACCCCAGACAAACATGTAAGTTGCCTTACATGTTAGAACTCCCACCTACCAATCCAAGTGGCCGCCTCTTTTTCTCTCCCTCCGAGTGCCCTCTACGAGGGGTTGGTTTCAGATTTCACCTAAAGTGCTCAAGGTGAGCCAGGTGGAAGTTTGAGGGTTAGGGAGTGGGAAGTGTGTGGCTTTTCTACCTGGTCAGATGCTAATTTCAGGGTACAAGTTTACGAAATGGGACCAGGGTCCACAGAGGCCTTCAACCCTCAGAAAGGAATAGTTCTGATGACTTCTTTGGTTTTATAACATGGGAAATAAAGCCCACCGGCCCAAACCCAAGGAATGAACTTGGAGACACGAGGTGCAGTGAGAAGTGCAATATCTGGCGTCTGGTGGGCAGGCACACCCAGGTTCATCATAATGGGGTTTTTATTCTCTCGGCTCCCAAGTCCCTCCCCCAGTTCCTCCTTGGCTGAGTACTACGGGGTTAACAATCTTCCCGAGGAAGTCACCTGGGTTTATTACTTTCCCTTTGCCTGGATTTTCCCATAAGCATCCTAAGGGCTATTACACATTAGCAGGCTGTCACTAGGCTAGTTGTCCTTGAAAATGGACCAGTTTTAGTTTTTATTTCTTCCAACAATAGGAAAAGCTGCCTAGAAAGGTCTTGGGGGAAGGGGCAGGCAGGTAGGGTGCAAGATGTGAAATTTGGCCTCAATTTCAAAAATGAAATTTGGTCTCAGTTGTTGACCGCCAATGGTTGAGCCCCAACACAACCCCAGTTCAAATTCAGCCCTTCAGCCCTTTCCCCCTTCCCCTCTCCCCCTCCTGTCTGCCTCTGCTTCCCCCTTCCCCCGCCCCCTCCCCGCCATTCCAGGCAGACAGGAGGGGCTGGCCCAGATGCAGAGGACGGAAGGTCTGGAAGGCCTCCTCTTCCAGTGCTCTGCCTGAGCTGCACCTGGAGCTCACACCTCCCTCTCCAGTCCTGCTCCCCACCTGGCAGAAAACCATCCTACAGCATTTTAAGACCCTTTTTTTTTTTACCACACTGAGCAGCATGCAGGATCTTTGCTTCCCAACCAGGGATCTAACCTGTGCCCCCTTAAGTGGAAGCATGGAGCCCTAACCACTGAACTACCAGGGAATTCTCTGCAAATATATTAACATCCAACAAGGGATAACTGGTTAGTTATTTTTATGGAGCTCTATTAAAAGAATGTATATGATGGCATAAAAGATCTGCAAGATATAGAATCTGATCCATAAAAATAGAATTTTTAAAAAATTATCTTGGTCCGAAGAACCTAAAGAATGTCCAACAAGAGATAATTGGTTAGTTATTTTAATGTGTGTGTGTGAGTCGCTCAGCTGTGTCCAACTCTTTGTGACCCCATGAACTGTAGCTAGCCAGGCTCCTCTGCCCATGGAATTCTCCAGGCAAGAATACTAAAGTGGGTGGCCATTCCTTTCTCCTGGGGATCTTCCTGACCCAGGGATTGAACCTGGGTCTCCAGGCACTGCGGGCAGATTCTTTACCATCTAAGCCACCAGGGAACCCAAGTTATTTTTATGGAGCTCTATTAGAAGAATGCATGTGATGGCATAAAAGATCTCCAAGATACAGAATCTGATCCATAAAATATATAGCAGATTTTCCTGGAGGGGACAAAACACTTGTCTTGAAGCCAAGGGCTGGCCCCCAAGTAAGGTGGGCCATGGTGGGATCATCCAAGCGACTCAGGAAACTAGCCACTCAGCCCAGTTCCACCCCAACCCTCATTCTCCAGCCAAAGAAAAGTCAGCAAGTCCAAAAAGAGGCCTGACTGTCCCTCTCCTGGAGCTGAGACACATGTCTATGGCAAGTCACCCTGGGTTTGGCATCCACCCATCTCCCCCTTGGCCGCACCCAACCAGCCTCCATTTTTTGGTGTTCTCAGAATAGATCACTTATCCCTCCTAAACAAGTCAATCCCAGAATCCCACAGGCACACTTGGACCCCTTTGCTCTCTTTCCTCAACTTAGCCCTCAAAAAGCACAGACAAGAGGGTCAGCACCAGCCTTTACTGGGGAAAAGAAGCGCCACACACCCACTGCCCAGGCCCAGGGTCGGGTTTCCCACAGTCAAGGCAGCTGTCGGAGCAGAAACAGTGCCGAGGGCAATGAGAGTGCCCAGGGGTGTCACAAGCCCCAGGACAATAGCCTCTCCTGGCTGCCAGGACAAGCCCCCTCGATGCTCAGGACACATCAGATCGACAAGGGCACCGGGGCCTCTGCAAGAAGAAGAAACATCAGGTCATAATTGCACCCTCCTGGCTCCAGCTCCCCAGCATGTTTTTTTCCCCTTCTACACTGGAGAAGTTAGGCAAAGATTGCTCTCACAGGCCTTAAATGGCTACCTGCTTTTCAGACAATCCGGGCTAAACTGGCATTGAAGAGTCTTTATCACGCAGTGACCAACCTTATATTTCCTGTTGTAAAAACAGCCTGTCTGGCCCCTTACCCACTCTCTCATATCACCCCCATCTCAGTTTCCCAAACATGTCACATACAACCCACCCTCTGTGTCTTTGGTCACCAGGCCACCCGTCCAGCTTGTTCTCTTGCTCTCCTCGCTGGGTCACATCTAGCCTAGCCTTCAGGGCCCAGATCAAATCCTACTTCTAGGAGAAGGACCCTCCCAAGGAACCACACTTATCTGCTCACCTGTATGCCCATTCGGCCTATACAGGGTCCTGACCTGTGAAACAGAATCTAACTAGACTCTCCAGGGTGAATACTGCCTTGCCCTTCTGGAGTTCCCACCCAGCATGCTAAGCATCACAGCAGTGAAGACTGTTATTATTGATAACAAGGGACTGTACTCACCTAATTCAGAGTCAGACCTAATGGTCCAGGTGGGGTTCGGGGCCCGCTGGGGTGATGGGACTGGATGGGACACAGAAGCGGCCACAGCCTGACTTGCAGCACTTTTCCCCCGGTTGGCAGTTCTCATCGATCATGCAGTTGACAATGCACAGGCCCACTAAGACTTTTGGACAGTCACCGCCCCACCCTGGGGGATAAACAGGCAAAGGTATAGAGACAGGACGGTTAAGTTCCAGTGACTCCAGGTGGGATCCCATCTGGGACTTAGACACAGAGGCTCAGATGAATCCATCCCTGATTCTGACTGGCTCTTAATCAAACATCTGGCTGGGACACCTTGAAGCTAGAGGATCTGAGCCCTCGCAGGGCCCTAAGAGAGCATCTGGATTAATGATTTCCAAATAGTATCTCACAAGGAGTTCCCTAGAGGTACCTCACTGGTGGCTCAGATGGTAAAGAATCTGCCTGCAAATGCGGGAGACCTGGGTTCAATCCCTGGGTTGGGAAAGCTCCCCTGGAGAAGGGAATGGATACCCACTCCAGTACTCTTGTCTAAAGAATTTCATGGATGGAGGAGCCTGACGGGCTACAGTCTGGGGTCGCAGAGTCAAATACGACTGAGCAATGAATACTCACTTTTTTCTTTTTTCACTTCAGGACTTGATATCACTGTGGGTTTGGGGTGGGCCTGGGTGGGGTGCAGAAGCAGGGCTCTCACACCACTACCCTCTCCCCTGGTGCCTGGGCTTCCTACTCTCCACCCCCTGCCATGGCCTTCCTCTAGTTCTTTCAATGCCAACATGGGCCCCTTAATCCAGGAGAAGGGTTGCCGTGGCTTGGAGGGGGGCGGGGTATGAGGACTGGAAGGATAAGGATTCTGACTCCCCCAACAAACAGAAAGAGAAGACCACAGATGGCTCCCTGCCTAACCAGCTCTGGGAGCCCAGGAGCCCAGGATTTCTTCCCCAAAGAGCTGACATACCTCCCTTAATGTCTCCGAAGCAGGCATGGCCACAGCCGGTGCTGCAGCACTTATGTCCCTGGGGACAGGATGTGTCCCCATCACACAGCTCTTCACACGGAAGGGGGTCAGCCGGACATTCACCGCCAGACTCTGCCACAGAAACAGAACACTGGGGCTCAGAGGTAAACCAGCCCAGTGTTGCCAGTTATTTTCATCGGGACTCCAGCACAAAATGTACAAACAAAAATGTAATGGAAAACGACATATTTTCCATTGTGTCCTGTGTGTATCTCATAAATATTCATGCTTAACATGTGTATATTTATGTGCATTCATGTATATTCAATGCTGATACTTCTTATTCTATGTCTTCTTTTTTTTAATGCTGGCCACAAAATACGAAGCTGATATTCAGATTCAGTTTGAAAAGCACGGTTGAGGTCTAACACACTGTGACAAACACACCAGTTGCCACCCCCATATTCGTCCTCCCTCCGTGCTTACTGTCGTTGACACCAGCACTGCTGGCTGCTGAACGCATGCCCACGGGTAGCCCCCTCCCCACTGTCTCTGGGCTTGACTGCGTGACGCTTTGACCGACAAGACACCAGCAAGTACGACACCAGCAGCGCGTGTACATGCATGCATGCTCAGTTGCTTCAGTCATGTCTGCCTCTTTGGGACCCCATGGACTGCAGCCCGCCAGGCTCCTCGGTCCATGGGATTCTCTAGGCAAGAATACTGGAGTGGCTGCTATGCCCTTCTCCAGGGGACATGTTCACAGCCCCTAGACAGACACTGAAACTCTGAGAAGAGAAGCTGTTGGCCCAGGACTGCAGAGTGAGTCAGCGGCAAAGCAGGACGAAACTCAGCCTCTCAGTGTGTAGTGAAGCACTCTTCCTACTACACCATCCCTGAGACAGGTGGGCAACGGGCCAGGTCCACAGGGCAGGCACACCCAAGACGTCACATCCAAACCACACCCACTCAACCGTGACTCACTCCTCTCGGTGTTCAAGTTTTCTAAATGGAGGGGAGATACAGGCCATTTAAGGCTTTGTAGAAAACCAAGACAGGACTGGCCCAGTGCCTCTGAGAAAGAACATATACATATGATTGGACACAGCTGGCTCTGGGCAGCCTGACATGATGGGAAAAGCACGTGCTGGACTCCGAGAGAATGCGTGCAGCTAAACATGTGCACATGCTCAGTCGCTCAGTCGTGTCTGACTCTTTGCAACCCTATGGACCACAGCCCTCCAGGCTTCTCTGCCCATGATATTTCTCAGGCAAGAATACTGGAGCAGGTTGCCATTTCCTCCTCTATGGGATCTTCCCCAGCCAGAGATCAAACTCCAGTCTCCTGCATCTCCTGCATTAGCAGGCAGATTCTTTGCCACTGAGCCATCTGGGAAACCTCGTACAGCTGAACAATCCAAGGTATAATAACCTAGTATCCTTAGATTTTCTAAATAGCCCCTATTTCACGCCATTTCAGTCCATATTACAACTATGTGTCTTGGTTTTTTTATTCAGAAAATATGATCACTGTTCATCACCACATGTCTCTCCCCACACCTCCCCACCTGTTTGACAAACACCAAAATCCGTCTGACAAGGAACAAAGTCTTTTATCCCCAAGGCTGAGAAGACTGAGCATAAAAACAATCTCCCCAAAAGAGAAAAAAAACAGCAACATAAACGTCTCACCAAATTATACCTTGTACCCTAGAGAGTGGAGGCCTAGAGTCTCAAACTTCCCAAATTTCACCATTTTGCTGGGCCTGACTCTGAAGTAGCTTCCCAGGTGGCCCAGGGGTAAAGAACCTGCCTGCCAATGCAGGAGACAGAGGAGATACGGGTTCAATCCCTGGGCCAGGAAGATCCCTGGAGGAGGAAATGGCAACCCACTCCAGTGTTCTTGCCTGGAGAATCCCACGGACAGAGGAGCCTGGGAGGCTACAGTCCATGGGGTCACAAACAGTCGGACATGACTTAGCGACTGAGCACACACCCATGACTCTGAAGTAACCAATGCCAGGAGCACCGGGCTACCACTGCTTTCCTCCCCAGGACCAGGCATAGACACCAAAGCTCTACTGTCTCCCAGGCCAGACTTCCTTGAGTTCCCTGGGGATTTATCAACTGTCAGAAGCAACAAAGGGACCCTTGGAGGATAGGCTGGAGTCCTGAGGCTCAGAATATATCCCTTCGGACCAGCGCCCAGTAGGGCCATCCAGTCCAACACCCTATCTGATGCCTGAATCCCTGCCAAACAATCCCCATCCTTAGCTAGGAGAGCTGGAATTAAGGGAGCCTTACTACCTCCAAGCCCGACTACAGCCAGCCATCCTTATATTTAAGCTAGACAGCCTTAAAGATAAGAAAGTCTTTCTTTATACTCAACTGAAGTCTATTTCTCTCCATTGGCCCTTTACCTATCCCCAGACACCTGGTAAGATCACAGCTTGTGTCACCTCTGTAGACATCCTCTGCCTTTCACTGTCTCAGCTTTGCCAGGCTAGCTGAGCTCAGTTCCTCCTATCACATGGTTTCTAGTCACCTCAGTTATCTTAGCAGGAATCAGGGTGAGAAATACAAATGACAGCCAGAACAGGGATGGTCAATCTAGCCTCTGGATACGCCCAATCCCAAGATCCCAAGCTATCACCAGAAAGGCAGAATAGAAAGCTGAAGCCCAGAAACACTCACTCACTGAGTCTCCACCGCTGCCCCAGCTCCAACCTTCCACTAGGGAAAGACGCCAGCTGCTGGCAGGAAAGTGACATGTCAAAACTTCTTAAGCCAAGAAGGGCCCTGAGTCCTCAAACCTACTCCTTTCTTCTCCTGTAAACAGACAGACAGACATCCAGAAGGGGGAGAGACCAGCCTGAAGTCAATGGTCCCAGAACTGAGCCCCAAACCCCCAGCTTTGACACTCGGTCCAATGCCCTTTAACCCACATCATTACAATCCCCTACACTCTGCAAGGATCACCTAAAAACAAATCAACAAGCACTAGGACTCAGCTCATTTCTGCCAAAAGACCGAGCAGTAGACAGCTTTAGGGGTTAGGAAAACTTACAAATAAACTAGTGTGTGCCTGGAGCTCCCGAAACCAGTCCTAGTTTTGGCAATCCACCGGGACTCAGCATACAGGTGTACACACGGCCATGATTTACAACAGCACAAAAATACAAAGCAAAACCACCAACGGGAAGAGGCATATGACGCGAAGTCCAGAGGAAGCCAGGGGCAAGCTTCCAGGAGCCCCCTCCAGGAGAGTCGCACAGGATGGGCTTCATTCCTCTGGCATGAAGCTGTGACAACGCGGGTGAAGTGGCGTTCTACAGGGGAACCCACTGCAGACTCAAGAGTTTTCCTGGGGACTGGTCACACGGCACTCTCTGCCGAGCCCATACCTCTGTTAATAGTTAGGGTGGCACGAACTCTCTCGAAAATCCAAATTCCCAGAAGTCAGCCAAGGCCAATCTTGTGAGCAGGCCTTTCTGGGAATGTTAACCTTGGACCTGCTGTGTTAGCTCTCTCAGCTATACAAACAGTGTGGAGGTTTCAGGAAAGGGGGGCCCAAACACCCATGGAGCCCACGCCCCTGATCCACACAAAAGGACATGATGCATATGTCCTAATAAGCAAAACAGAGGCTCAGGGGGGATCGGGAGGGGCCAACCTTCACGCAGTGGGAGAGGGGAAATAAGGGACCCAAGACAGACAGAGTTTGGCTCAGTCGTGTCCAAATCTTGGCGACCCCACATACTGTAGTCCACCAGGCTTCTCTGTCCATGGAATTCTCCAGGCAAGAATATTGGAAAGGTCTGCCATTCTCTTTTCCAGGGGGTCTTCCCAACCCAGGCATTGAACCTGGGTCTCCCACATTGCAGGCAGATTCTTTACCCTCTGAGCTACCAGGGAAGCCTCTGGGACAACATTAAGGGAGCCAAAAGGGACAGCATTAAGGCCATTATCTGGATCTTCGCTCCAAAACCTTCTCCTCCCAAAGTTGTCCCCTTCTCAGTAAAGAGTACGGCCATCACCCAAAGGCACCAGCCAGACACTCAGCATTCTTCTTGACACTTCCTCTTCCTCATCACCCACATCTGCTAACCAGGCCTGTCAGCTCCATCTTCAGGAGAATTTCAAGGACCTCCCTGGTGGTCCAGTGGAATCTGCCTGCCAATACAGTGGACCCAGGTTCAATCCCTGGTCCAGGAAGATCTCACATGCCCTGGGGCAACTAAGCCCATGAGCCACAAGTGCTGAGCCCCTCTGCCGCAACTACTGGAGCCTGCTTGCCATGAGCTGGTGCCCCACAAAAAAAGAAGCCCGAGCGCCAAAACTAGAGTGGCTCCCCCTTGCCGCAGCCAGAGAAAGCCCATACACAGCAATGAAGACCCAGCACAGCCAAAAAGAGTAAATAAATTTTTTTCCCCCAGAAAGTACTTCGACTCTGCCACTTTTCCAGGTCTGAGCCATGGTCACTCCCTGCCCAGCCTGCCACAGGGGCCTCTCAACTGGCCTACCACCTTCTACATTTTCCTCAGCCATTCTTCACACACCAGCAGAAAGGTCTTTTTAAAATGAAAACCCAACCAGGTCTCTCCTGCTTTAAAGGCCTCCTGTTGCACTTATAATAAAGCCTTAGACAGAGGCCCTGGAGGTTCCCGGAAAGCCTAGACCTGAACTGGAACTACCCTCCTTCCCCATCCCTCATCTCCAACCACACTGACCTTTCACCTCCTGAAAAAAGCAAGCCCAGCCCCGCCCCACAGGCCTTGCCCTGGCAGTTCCCTCTTCCTAGCATTGCACCCAACAGCCAGCTGCTGCTTCTCAGTTCTCCAACTTAAAATGACACCTCCTCTTTCCCTCGCTTTTCATTCCTTTCGTAGCACTCACTGTGACTGGTGCTTATTATTGTCCACTTATGATTATTTCCTGTGTCTCACATCAGGGGCTGAGCTCCACGAGACCAAGGGCCGTGACTGCCCTGCTCACCCCTGGATGCCCAAATGCCAGATAGTATAGACTGACTCAATGTGTACTGAATCTATAAGCGAACAAGTGACATCTACCAGACATCAGAGAGGTGGGAGGGAATCTGATCAGCAAGGTGCTGGGCATAACACTATAAGCTGCTGGGCATTATTTGGCAGGTTTTGTACAAGCTTTTTATATACATTTCTTCTCAACTACATGACTGGAGAAGGCAAGGGCAACCCACTCCAGTACTCTTGCCTGGAAAATCCCATGGATAGAGGAGCCTGGCAGGCTGCAGTCCATGGGGTCAGGAAGAGTCAGACACGACTGAGCAACTTCACTTTCACTTTTCACTTTCATGCATTAGAGAAGAAAATGGCAACCTCCTCCAGTGTTCTTGCCTGACGAATCCCAGGGACAGGGGAGCCTGGTGGGCTGCCGTCTATGGGGTAGCACAGAGTTGGACATGACTGAAGCAACTTGGCATCGGCATCAACTACACGGGATAGACTGAATACTTGTACTCTCCGAAAATTCTTATGTTGAAACCAAATACCCAAAGTGAGAGTATTTGGAAGTGGGGTCTTTGGGAAGTGATTAGGTCAAGAGACTGGAGCCCTCTTAAGGGCAAGTAGCCCTTGTTGGCCTTCTGTCACATGAGGTCACAGCAAAAAGAGAGCAGTCTACAAACCAGGAAGCAAGCCCTCACCAGACACTCAATCTTCTGGCACCTTGATCTCGGGTGTCCCCATTTCCAGAACTGTGAGAAATAAATGTCTGTAGTTTATAAGCCACCCAGTCTGCAGTATTCTGTTACAGCACTGAGAAAGGACACTGCCTTATCACTCTACGAAATAAATGTCCTTGCATGCATGTGTTTAGTCGATCGTTCATTTCCGAGTCTTTGCAACTCTTTGGAGCCCCCCAGGCTCCTCTTTCCATGGGTTTCTCCAGACAAGAATACTGCAGCAGGTTGCCATTTCCTCCTCCAGGGGATCTTCCTGACCCAAGGATCAAACCCAGGCATCTCCTGTGTCTCCTGCATTGCAGGCAGATTCTGACCTGCTGAGCCATCAGAGAAGCCCTGATAAGAGATAAAGACACTTACCTCCATTGTAAGGATGATAAAAAGAGGCCACAGAGGAGCCAGGCTTCCTATCCATGTTCAAACCCTAACTGCCTCAGGAGAGCAGGTCCAGGGTTCAGCCTGGACCCTCAGGCACCCCGATGTGCCCCTACCTTACCAAACAGACAGCCCAGGAAGCCTCTGGCAAATCAAGGCTTACTGAACGCAGAAGTGGTTCACAGCCCAGAATGCGCTCCCACTGCCGGTCACTGGGTGTAGCAACGAGTCCCACTGGGTGAGTGGGCCAGCCCTGCTCTAGGACTGGAACTGTAGAGAAGCAGTTAACTGATAACCCCATGGCCAATATCACTTCCCACCAGAGGAGGGACCCCACACAGCCAGTGGGCTCTGGGAGATCTGCAGAGATCACTGTTCTAACCTGCTGAGCTCCCAGGAAAAAAAGCAGCCCCAGCTGGGCTGGTCAGGGCCCAGAGCAGCTCACAGAGGTGCCCGGCTGGGCTGCCAGCCTCACCCTCAGCTGCTACAATTCAGTCATCACCTTCAAACATGGGCAAGGCTGTACCAGGCCCGACAAGCTGCCAGGGAGTGACCCGTGGGAGACAGACGCCCAGCCCTGGTTCCAGACAGGGGCCTCAAGAGTCCTGGCAAGGAGTACAACCCTCTATTCTCTTTTATGGGCACGCTGCCCAAGGGAGCTGCCAAAGCCAGGTGCAGACGATCCCAGTGGGTACAGGGAAGGGGCCTGCTACATGGGGAGATTTGGCTGGCAGGTCAGCCTTCACAAGAACCCTAAGTTCAAAGTAAAAGAAGCACAGATAATCAACAGTCTATTATTTCCTGACAGAAAGCAAAGAACTGGGGCCTCTAGTGATTAAAGGAGAAGAGACAGCTCCCCCACCAAAAAAGGGGAGGGGGCGGCAGGGAAGAGGTGCTCTAGGTAAGCTAGATTCCAAAAGCCAACCTTGAAGACAGAAAGCTGGCTGGGTCTATGTAGCCCAGAGGCAAGATCGGAAAGGAGACATGGATTTTGCCTCTCGAGATATCCTTAGGGACGCCTCCCCAGCAGAGCCAACCACAGCATGCACCGCGGAACATTCATTCCCCTGGCATGGCTCTTGGCACAGGTTCTTATTGGAAGGATATTTTCCTTCTTTCACTGCAAAAGGTATCACCTGAGTTGGGGGTAACTGATAAGGCCTCAATAAATTGGGAATGGAAGCCAAATGCACTTCGGGGACTTTTAGCCTTTCCCAAATTCTTATCTAAAATATTTCTGCAGCCACTTTCCCCTCCTTCCACACCCCCACCATCCACCAACATGCACCCAGCACCACTCAAGGACCAGCCATTCTGCAGAGAGAGAGAAAGGTTGGGCAAACACAGAACCTCTAGTAAGCCAGACTGGAAGTACTATCTCCTTGTCCAGAGAGGACAGAAAAAGCCAGGAAGACCTATCCTGGCTGCTGCCAGAATCAATCCATCCAGGTCCGTTGTACAGAGGAGACCATCATCTCCCCAAATGAGGAGCCTCACTCTTGGGGGAGGCCAGGGGTGATTTCTCCTCTAGTCATTTTCAGTTACTCTTAGTCAGGGGTCCCAAAGGGTAACTCACCATGCTCTCCTACAGTCACCCTGGATGTCTCGGACCCAAGAGCCATTATTGTCTTCAGGAGGAAGAGGCAGCCCAACATGACAATGATGCTGAGAGCTGAGATGAAAACTCCAATCCGGCCAGACATGTACATCTTGCCCAGAATATCAACCGTGGGAAGGGCAAGGCAAGGGGACTGGCCTAAGCCCAGCCCCAGATCCTTCCTTTTCGCAATAGTTCCCAAGGATGTCTTCTCCTGACAAGAAGAAAAGTGATTGGTTGCTTGTGTGTGGGAACATTCCTGGTGCTACCAAAAGACACATGTGATCAGAATGATCAAACTCTGTACAATGGACAATGATGAGGAATCTAGGGGGAGCTGGGAAAACAGGGGGATAGCCACTGGATCAAAGAGAGCCCTAGAGGGTTTTTCAGGGACATGGCTACAGCTGAAATGAGAGAGGAAAGGACTAAAGACACCACTAAAAAAAAGAACCAAAGCTAATAAAATGCACTGTGGCTCCTGTCCATCATTGCAACCTAGAAAGCAGAGACTAGAACCAACTGCGTACAAACTATTCAAAAACTATAGAAAAGCAGTGTTTGAATTTCTTCAGAACTAACATAAATGCACCAAAAACCTACATCTTGGTCCCTCTGGCATATATGGGACATTTTTGGACTATATGAAGGCTGGTTGACAAAACCCAAAAGAACAGTTGCTGACTCAAGTAATAACGTAGGTCATATAGATTCCCTTTCCCTGACACAGGGATCGAACGGATGTCTCCTGCATCTCCTGTGTTGCAGGATTCTTTAACCACTAAGCCAGTTGGGAAGCCCAGAACAAAGGTAAGCAGTCCAATTCCATAGTCGGTGTTCTTTTATCATATCATAATGAATTTGAACTCAGATCTTTCTAACTGCAAAACTCATGCACCTTCTACTACCCCATATTATGACCTCGTACAAGTAACTTTTGCTACCACATATAAGTAGATCCAATTCTATTCCGGGATGTCTTACCTCTAATGCAGAGCAAAAGGGGATCTGGGGAACTCTACAGCTGTGAAACCCCTGCATCCTCAACCTATCCCAGAATCAACCATCTGAGGAGAGAAGCCCAGGATCTTCATTAGATGCCTTCCGACGCCAAGAGGCAACCCCTGGGGTAAAGGCCTGGAGGGACCGCTGAGTGAGTGTTTACAATGCCAAGGGCCAGACCCCCTCCCCCTCTTGTTAGGTTTTGGGGTCCTCGCATGAGGCCCATCCAATTCTGGGAGCTGAGTGCCGGGCATATTAAAATCTAGTTTTCCAAAGACAACCAAAGACGCCCCTGTACCAAACGCTCCCCTCCGCTCCCCAGCTCCAGCCCCGGGAAATCTGCTCCCTTCCTCCCGCCCCACACTTCTCCACGGGCCCTCGCCCTGCCAGAGAACGACCCTGACTGAACACCCCCAGTCACACCCGAAGCGAGACCACCCCCGAAAGGCAGCCGGGCGACCCGACACGCAACGCCTCTAAGCAGCAGCAACCGGACGGGAACTAGCGGTTCGGTTTCCCTGGCAACCCCGCCGCTCGCCGCGTCGCGCTTCCGGAACCTGCGGGCGGCGCGCTCCAATGACGTCACGGGGCCACTTTCCGGCCGGTGGCAGAGTCGGGCTGAAGTTGTGGGGGCCCGGGGCGCCATGGGGGCCACTGGCGACGTTGAGCAGCCGCGGGGACCCGGCGGGGCAGAGCGGGGTGGCCCCGAGCTGGGAGACGCGGGCGCAGCGGGGCAGCTGGTTCTCACGGTGAGGGCGCCCCCGGGGAGGCCCCGACCGGGCCTGGGCTCGGGCCGGGCAGGGCCTCGGGCTCCCGGGACCCTGGCCCGCGGGGGAGAGAACGCGGCGGCTGATCTACCGAGGGGGTTGGCTTTGTCGCAGTCCGACGATCTGGCTTCAAATTCTGTGCCGCCCTCCTCGCTAGGTGACGTGGGCCGGCCCTGTCAAGCCCCTGAGCCCCAGTTTTATCTTCGGGAAGATGAAGATGCTTAGCCCCTGCCTCGTAAAGTTGTCGGGGGGAGGGATAATAAATGCGGGTAAAGCGCCCAGCGCATCATCTGGCAGAGTAGACCCTCGGTAAACACTGGTCCCCTTCCTCCACCCTGTCCTGAAAAGTAGGGTTGGGACTTTGGAGGCAGGAAACTTTCCCTCGGTTCCTCTTCCTCCGCCCCACCCTACCCCAGGGTGGCAGAATCGGTGAAAGCACCCGAGAAGCAGGGATGTCTGAGGTGTAACTTAATACGCACGCTCCACCTCCACGCCAGTGTCACGGACCTCGGTGACATCTGCTCCCTTGGTCCCCACAGAACCCTTGGAACATAATGATCAAGCACCGGCAGGTGCAGCGGAGGGGCCGTCGCTCACAGATGACCACAAGGTAAGGCTAGCCCTGGATGGGACGTCTCTCCCAGGCACTGGCGTGGAAGGCAGCTTTGCGGTCCCCACTGCACAGGGCTAAGAAAGAGTTCATCAGCCAGTAGAAAGAGGAGATTCAGATTCGGTAACTCTGTGTGACCTTGAGCAAGTCATTTCCCCTCCGAACTCAAAACGAGGGGGAGGCGTGTTGGTTAGACAATGCCCAAGGTCCCTAACATTCAATGGCTCTTGTGTTTGAAGCTGCCAAAGAGGCAGAATCACATGGAGGTTATGAGAAACATGGGCCTGATAGTCTCCATCTCAGGGAAGGGAGGGAGCACAAGATGGGTCTTTGGGATGCTGGTTGTGTATGTTTCTTGCCCTGTATGTGTGTATGTATGCTAATTCACTTCAGTCGTGTCCAGGTCTTTGCAACCCTATGGACTATAGCCCACCATGGGATTCTCCAGCCAAGAATACTGGAGTGGGTAGCCATGCCCTCCTCCAGGGGGATCTTCAGACCCAGGGATCAAACCCTCATCTCCTGCTTCTCAGGCGCCTTCTTTACATCTAGCACTACCTGGGAAGTCTTGACCTGAGTAGTGATTAAATGGATGTTCACTAAAACTGTTACAGTGTATAGACTTTTACTGTATTAAGTATTATTCTTCTAAAACACTTTAAAAATAATGCCCATTTCATAGAGTTATGAGTATGAAATAAAGTCCTACATCTGTGTGGTTTGCACAGAACTCGGACACATAGCTAGTTTTCAGTAAAAGTCATCTAATTGATTGTTTGGGGGTGGTTTGTTTTTTTCTTTTTCCAGCCACACTACATGGCATGCGAGATCTTAGTTCCCTGACCAGGGATCAAACCCGTGCTTCCTATAGTGGAAGCATAGAGTTTTAACCACTGGGCTGCCAGGGAAGTCCCAAAGCCATTTGTTTTTGTTGTTAAAGGATCTTATGTCAGTAATTGGCTGGGCAGACTGGGAAAGAAAATGTTTGGGACATGCCTCCTGACTGTGGCTTCTTCCCCTCCCTCCCTCTGCAGTTTCACAGATCCTGCCATCTCCATGGACCTCCTCCGAGCTGTCCTGCAGCCCAGCATCAACGAGGAGATCCAGACAGTCTTCAACAAGTACATGAAGGTGAGAAGGATGCAGAGACAAAAAAAAATAGGAATTAAGACTCATGGGTGATCCTTCTCTGCATCACAGTCTCCCTAGCTCTTTCTAGTACCTCCACATGCCTAAAGTTTTCCAATTTGGAATCCCCACTCCAAGAATGTAAGTTTCTCTTACTGTTACCAAAGCAAATTTGGGTCTGCTCACACATGTGTGTGCTAAGTCGCTTCAGTCATGTCCAACTCTTTGTGACCCTATGGACTGTAGCCCGCCAGGCTCCTCTGTCCATGGGATTCTCCAGGCAAGAAGACTGGAGTGGGTTGCCATGTCCTTCTCCAAAGGATCTTCCTAACCCAAGGATCAAACCTGCATCTCTTAAGTGTTCTGCATTGGCAAGTGGGTTCTTTACCTCTAGCGCCACCTGGGAAGCCAAAGCAAGTTTGGGTCTGCTCGCCCACATGCAGTAAAACCAGTCTACTGACACAGGTAGTGGTGAAGGAAAGTGCAGCATTTCCTGCTGGGCAGCACCAAGCAAGGAGGCTGGGGGCTATTTTGTTTCTGTTATTGTTATTTAGTCACTGAATCATGTCCAACTCTTTGCAACCCCATGGACTGTAGCCCACCAGGCTCCTGTGTCCATGGAATTTCCCAAGCAAGACTACTGGAGTGGGTTGCTATTTCCTTCTCCACGGGATCTTCAAACCCTCATCTCCTGCATTGGCAGGTGGAGCCACCAGGGAAGCCCTCTGGGGACTAGACTAATGCTTGAAACACCCAAACTCCCTAATGAGTTTCAGCAAAGCATTTTGAAAGGCAAAGTGAGGGAGGGGCATCCCAGGGTATGTGCTCAGCTCATGCACAATTCTCTGGTTGGTTGGTGGTGAGGTGGCCATGTAGTAGCTCAGGGATTAACATTATTAACCCTTGGGCTCTGCTCATGTTCATCAAGTAATTCATTTATTCCGCTTGGTGGTGGTTTTAACATCTATTAGACAACTCAGGAAATGTGCATCGGATGCTGTTATTGAGGAGCTTTAAAGCAGAAGATATGGGAGAGGAGTCTGCTCCCTGTCCTCCAAGGCCCCATAGGGTCAGCTCCATTAGTTTTGCCAAGCTGTTGTGAGGATGAAATGACTTAAGTGTAATGTGCTCAGCCTGTGCTTGGAATGCAAGTGTTTTTATTACTTGTTTAATAGATAACCATTGTTGCTGTTTAAAATTCATTTTAATATCTATTAATAATCTACACGGCTCTACCTGAATTTCCCACAAATGCTTCAGTCCCAGCATATTAAGGACTGACCTCTTTTGTTTTTCTTCCTAAATCTCCTCTTGTATTTATTCTTTCATTCGAGAAATAGTTACTAAGCGCTTACCATAATGCAGGCACTGTTCTAGGCACTTAAGGATGTAACAGGGAACAAAATGGGCAGCGTCCTTGCCCTCTTTAAATAAATGTGTCCTTTGTCAGGGAGTGCCAGAGAGAAGGGGGAAGACAGTGGCCTGTAGGGAACAGAGGTGCCCTTTCATATTCATAGATTGTGTCTAGACAAGACTTTTGAGCAGAGACCCAAAAGAGTGAGGAAGGAACAAGTCATGCATATACCTGGAGGGAAAGCAATCCAGGCAGAGGGAACAAGGGCAAAGGCCCTGTGCCAGGAGCATGCGTGACATGTTCAAAGCACCAGAGTGGCCAGTGTGGTGGGAGCCAACCAAACCAGGAAAGAAGTAGGAGAGATGACCAGACAGGTAGCAGACTCAGCTCAAGCAGAACTGTGAAGCCGAGGTGAGAACGTGAATGAAAATATTACCTGCCACATCAGAAAACAAAGGATGCTGCAGCCCTCAAGCCATCTCTTTACAGCCACCCTGCCTGGAGCCCCGAGGGAACTCAGGATAGAAGTAGGATGCCCGCCATCTAGCGGTCAGCTGCTGCAACCACCACCGACAGTACACCCCGAGGGGACTCAGGCCTGAGAAAGCACAGGATTCTGGCCCCAGAAAGCTAAGGCACACATCAAAAGAATGGTTTCAGTGAGCCCAGACTCCTGCACCTTTCCATACATAGGAAAGCACTAAATTCCTTAACTGGAGATACCTGGTTTTCTTTATTTAACAGTAATCTTTTGATATTCCGACTACCTGCTCTTTGTTGCAAAAACTCCTGTGTCGATATCCTGGCTCCTCACCTTGCCTTCTTGGAGCAGTCTCTCAAAGCTGTCTTAGATGCTGTGTTCCAGACTTAAGTCCTCAGTTTTGTCCACCAAATAAAACATAACTCTCAACTTTTAGGTTGTGCTTTTTTTTTTTTCCCCAGTTGACAGAACTTTGGGTTTTATTACAAGTAAAATAGAGGCTCTTGGAGAGTTTTGAGCAGAGTTCATGATCTGAACATTTTTAAAGAGTCTCTGTGATGGTCATAGAGTCGACTTCAGGAGGAGCAGTTAGGAGGCTTGAGATGATAGTGGCTTGGGTATTAGCAGTAAGGGTGCCAGGAAAGAGTTGGATTCTGTATGTTTTCAAGGTAGCAAACAGGATTTGCCAGTAATTCAGAAGTGCTGGGTAAAAGAAAAAAAGAAGTAAATAACTCCCAAGTTATTTGCCAGAGGCAGCTATAAAGGTAGAATCACCACTGACTTGGTATGAAGAAAATGGAAACAAGCAGAGGAATCAGGAGCTCAGTTATGAACAAGTTTAAATGAGATCATCATTCACTTAAAAACCAGAGTCCAGTGGGCTCTGCCTTCCTCCACCTTCCATATTCAGTCCTGGGGTCTTGTGCATTCCACCCCACGCTCTGACCGGCCTGTCCTTCTGCCTTGCCTCTGCCTTGGTTCAGGCCTTCGTTGTTTCTCCCACTGTAATCCTTAACTGCCTCTGTTCTTTCCCTCTTTCAGCCCACCCTCCATAAATCCGGTGATCTCTAAAATGTAAATCCCTTAAAATCCCTCCACGACTTTCCATTTTTTCTGGGTGAAATCCAAATTCCTTTCCGTGGCATATATGGCCCCCTGAGATCAGACCACAGCCACCCCTTGCTGTATAC